CTCTCTCTCTCTCTCTGTCTCTCTCTCTCTCTCTCTCTCTCTCTCTCTCTCTCTCTCTCTCTCTCTCTCTCTCTCTCTCTCTCTCTCTCTCTCTCTCTCTCTCTCTCTCTCTCTCTCTCTCTCTCTCTCTCTCTCTCTCTCTCTCTCTGTCTCTCTAGCTCGAATGAAATTATTTATTTAGGGTGGGCAGCGATTATGTTGTGAGGGGTATGAGAAAGGAAAGAGGAGGGAGGAGGGCGTGATATGGAGAAATGGAGAAGGGAGTAGAGCTGCAGCATGAAAGAGAAAGAATTTGAATCTTCGAAATGAAGAGGAGAAAGATGACAATGCGGGATGAGATAGAGGAGGTAGAGAGGAAGATTGAAGGAAGGAAGAGCTTCTGACTTGGTTCATCAGGGGTTTGCTTCATTTGATCTCCCGTGTTCGCATTCGCAAATTGTGAGCTACAGTCATCTGGCCTCCTTTCTATCTCCTTTTGACCCTTTTCTTTCCTAGAATTGTTTCAATGCGATCAACGTGATCTGCCTAGACCTTGCCCATCTCAACCTCACACGTGTAGGTCGCTGCTCATGCGAGCTGTCAACTTCATCTGCCTCGCTGTGTTATGCCTCGTCACCATCACTTTATGCGCTCAGCTTGTTGGCAAGAAGAAGCTCCTGGCGATCAACACCTGGCCATGGAAGAACGCAACCGCGTCTGCTTTCAAGTCGCTCCAGGCGGGAGGGACGAGCGTCGATGCGGTGGAGGCAGGATGTAGGAAGTGTGAAGAGATGCAGTGCGACGGGACTGTGGGGTTCGGAGGGAGTCCAGACTCGACAGGAGAGGTCACCCTTGACGCCATGATCATGGACGGCGCTTCACATGACATGGGTGCCGTCGGGTGCCTTAGAAATATCCGGAACGCGATCTCGGTGGCCAGAAGCGTCATGGAACACACGTCTCACTCTCTGCTGGTGGGAGAGAAGGCAACGTCGTATGCCGTCATGGCTGGTTTCAAAGAGGAGCCGCTTGAAACTGACCGGTCAAACCTCCTGCACGCAGCCTGGCTTGCAAGCCACTGCCAGCCAAACTTCTTCCGGGGCTTTCCAGGGGAGGACAAGGAGTGCCCTCCTTACCACTCTCCAGTCCGGCCCAACCAGACGCGGTCCGAGCAAGTGAGTCGACATGTCTCGCGCAGGAACCACGACACCATTGGAATGATCGCCCTCGACGCTGAGGGAAACCTCGCGGTCGGAACGAGTGAGCGATGATCTCCCTTCTTCTCCTTCCTCACTTGCCCAGGTACCAACGGAGCTTCGCACAAGATCGCAGGGAGGGTGGGAGATGCCGCTGTCATAGGAGCTGGGGGATACGTGGACAAGGACGTGGGAGCCGCAGCAGCCACCGGGTCTCTTCTTCGTGCTCTGCCTTGTTGCATGCGAGTGTCTGCTCACGAGCAGCTGCCGCAGGGACGGGGACGTGATGATGAGGTTCTTGCCTGCCCACCGCGCGGTGATGAACATGAGGCTGGGGTTGACGCCTGCTGAAGCCTGTGAGGGCTGGAGGTGACCACAGGGACTGCGAGGTCACACATGAGCAGGTCAGGAAGCTTTGAGCTCCATCGCTCGCGTCTATCCTTCCTTCCAGGGCGCCTTGATCTGCGTGTCAGCGCATGGGTCCGTCTAGAAGCTTGCAGAGGCTCCTCGTCTTGACTTCGTCCAGCTCTCACGCAGGAGCTGCGCATGGTTGGCAATTCGAGTACTCTTACCAGGAAGATGGCATGTCTGCTCCTGAGGTCCATGCTAGCCCCTCGTGAGGTCATCTGGCTCACTTGAACACGCGCAGATCGTTGAGGTCCTTCCCTCCTGATCGCCTCCTCAGTTCTACATCTCATCTACACAAGAAGCTTAGGGCCTCCGAATAGAGTGCGACAGGGATCAGCGGGAGGCAGAAACGAGTCGGACAAGAGCGGCAAATCCTTGAAGGCCATCTCGGCCGGCACCGTGCACAGCGGCCTCCGCGGCTGCCTCAGTGCCACTCGGTTGCCCGGCCGGGCCGGCGGCGGCCCACTGGGCCACATGGCAGTGCGGCGTGACTGACATTAAACTCAGTGGGGCCGCTGAAATCCTGCCCGGCTCCGCCTCGGACTGACGGTCCGATCACCGTCTGGCGCGGCCGCTCCGAGCCACTGTCACCCGGTACTGGCATTCACTGCCACCGGAGTTGGACACCCCGCAGAACTGAACCGTCACCGGCGGGGCCGGGTGTCCCGGCGGTACCTTGACCGTCCGATGCTTTGAGTAAAGATCTTAGGCCGGGCGCCGCTCTTAGTTAGAGTCCCGGAGTCCGGCCCGGCCCGGGTCGGATCGGACGGTTACGGTACTGGTGAGCATCGCCCTCATACACTTGAGCCTCGCACGTGCCGTGAGTGCAGATCAAGCGTGCAGCCAACAAGAGAGGAGTAGGGGTGGGTGGTTGACGGACTCTGAAGGGTAGGGGTCCGAAGTAGAGCGAGGGTAGGGGTTCGAAACAGGGCGAGGTGGTGGGTGGTTGTGTGAGGGGGTGGGGGGCATCGAGAATGAACTCAAAGAACTACCAGTGAGACACATAAAGGGAGGGTAGGGGGTGGAGAAGCTCAGGTAGTGGGGAAATGGGGGGTGGAGGATGAGTACCCAAGTATCTTAAATATTTGAAATATATCGAAGATATTTGAATTTATTTCTTCAAACTCTTTCATGATTCTCTCCCGTACATTCGGAATTCTCAGAAGGCCAACAATAGATGTATCATGGGAGGGGTGATAATGTGAGTATGGTCTTGGGGGTAGGGTAGGTCAATGGTCAAAGAGGGGTGGGGTGGGTCTGAGGAGTTTCTCATTCGAGGTCCTTGTATAGAGTCCATTCCGAAGAGAAGAGGGGAGTAGGGGGTGGGGTGATGGTAGGGTAGGCTAGGGGGGTGGGGTGATGGTTATGAGATCACCAGGACGGGTGGGTTGAAACCGTGAGGAGAGGAATGGCGGCAGCCGGAGCGTTCCGCGACGAACTGATCAAGACAGCGGTGAGGAGACACGAAGGAGAAGATGAAGGGGGAGGAAGAACAGAAAGGGACGAACACACAGGGAAGGGGCGGCGGACAAGGATACAGAAGTGAGGAGAGAGGAGGGAGATGGGTGAAAGGAGGCAATGGCATATGCACAAGTCCAGCAGGAATATAGAATCGCACCAAGAGAGGGTCGTGAGGGGTAATGGGAGTGAATAGTAGCAAGATGATTTTTGCATATGTTTGTGGTGTGAAGTGGTCATGATATTCCTTTTTGTAGAATGCCATTGCGTCGCCTGGCAAAGGAATTCTTGCTGCAGATGAAAGTACCGGAACGATAGGCAAACGCTTTTCATCAATCAATGTGGAGAACACTGAAGAAAACCGTATCAGGTAGAGAAGATGGGGAATTATTCAACTTGTGTTTAGTCAATGCAATGTAGGTACCGGAAGCTGCTCTTCACTACGCCAGGGATGAATCAATACATATCAGGAGTCATCTGCTATGACGAGACTCTCCGATCCAAGGACAAGGCTGGGACTCCTCTCATCAAGTATCTGCAAGATGCTGGCATTGTGGTGGGCATCAAGGTGGACAAGGGCTTGGAGGTCATTCCTGGAACAGACGGCGAGACGAGCACGCAAGGGCTTGACGGCTTGGCGGAGAGGTGCAAGGAGTACTACAAGATGGGGGCGAGATTCGCCAAGTGGAGAGCTGTCTACAAGATCTCTGCTAACGAGCCGTCGGACGTGGCGATCAAGGAGAATGCTTGGGCTCTCGCGCGATACGGTGATGATGTTGATGATGACAATGAGCTCAGTCCTCCTCTGGAGGCCTTGCTGGAACCCGATGATTCTTCTACATATCTTTGAGATCTGATATGCGTCCTGATGACAAACCTTTCTATGACTATTGGCATATGAGGGCTCCTCTTGTTTCCCACCTAGTTGCCTGCTCTCCTCCCAAGCGTCTGACCTGGTCGCAGGTGCCATCTGTCAGAGCAACGGGCTTGTTCCGATCATCGAGCCAGAGATCCTCATGGATGGCGACCACGACATCGAGAGGACAGCACAAGTGACGGAGAAGGTGCAGGTGGAAGTGTACAAGGCTATCCGAGACCAGCAGCTGCTGCTGGAAGGAACGCTCCTCAAGCCAAACATGGTCTGCCCTGGCTCAGACAGCAAGGCTCGGGCCTCTTCCATGGACATCGCAGCCTACACCATCCGAACTCTTCAGCGTTGCGTCCCCGTTGCTGTCCCAGGCATCGTCTTCCTCAGCGGGGGTCAGGTGAGGTTCAGGCAGCTGACACGCGTGCTCTAACTAGCGTCGCCTCCAGTCCGAGGAAGAAGCGACGCTGAATTTGAACGCAATGAACGTCATGCCGGCCAAGAAGCCTTGGGCTCTTACTTTCTCGTACGGTCGAGCGTTGCAGCAGTCGTGCTTGAAGGCATGGAAAGGAGAGGAAAGCAACCTAGAGGCGGCACAAAACGTCTTCCTCGATCGGTGCCGTGCCAACGGAGAAGCTCAGGTGAGAATCTTGTCTTCACCTTAGCTTCAATCTCGCCTTTTTTCTCCCATCCTGTACTATTTAGTTGACATGCACACAACAGCTCGGAAAGTATTCGGGCGGGTCGGGAGACACGTCGAGTTTGTTCCAAGCCAACTACAAGTATTGAGACGAAGAGCCTCTTGTACATATAGCAGAGCAGCTCCGGGTTGCTCCGCGTGTGAATAAACGTGAGAAAAGATTTCCAGGCTTCTTCCTCTAGTCCTTCACCTGCCTCTCATTCACGGAGCTCCCAACCCATGCAGGAGCTGCTTCTTCCACTGCAGGATGGGAAGGAAAGTCTCTTCCACGCGATCCTCCAGCAACTCCGCAAGCAGGTCACCATATTCCTGTTTCAGCAGAGCGAAAGACTGCTGCTGCTGCTGCTGCTGCTGCTGCTGCTGCTGCTGCTGCTGCTGCTGCTGCTGCTGCTGCTGCTGCTGCTGCTGCTGCTGCTGCTGCTGCTGCTGCTGCTGCTGCTGCTGCTGCTGCTGCTGCTGCTGCTGCTGCTGCTGCTGCTGCTGCTGCTGCTGCTGCTGCTCGTCCACTTCCTCTGCTTGCAGCCTGGGAGGCGCTATGATGTTTGAGAGCAATGAAGAATTTTTCAGTGTGGAGGAAGGAGAAGCTTGAGACACTGAATTCTCGCTCAGGTCCAAGTCTCCAATGTCTTGCAGCTTCCCGCTCTCAGTTCTGTGCGGTGCCATGAAGATTCGAGGGTTCGACAGCTCGAATCCGAGCTCATGAAAGACAGCCGCTGTTTGCGGAAAACCAAGGAGGATGAAGCAAATGTCGTCGAAAGGGCTGCCTCCAAGGGTCAAAGCATCGAGCAGCATTCCGAGCTCGATTCTTCCTGAGTTCTTTGGGTCTATGACTTTGAAGGCTGAGGCTTTTCGAATCGAGCTGGAGGAGCGATAGGCGAGGAGGAGTTCCTGGTAGAGCGAAGCCGTCGTTTCTTTGCTGTGAAGCTTCTTCTTGGTCCAGTGGAACACAGTATACTTGAACATGGCAGGGAGACACAAAGTGTCCGCATGGAACATCTTCTCGAAGAGGACAGATGAGTTCTCCTCGCTTAACGTGTTTTGTTCTTCATCCTCATAGGCCTGGAAGTGTTGAGTGATGAGAGGGCGAAACTTTTCGTTGACGAGATCGAAGGCGTAGTTGAGCTTCGCTTCTTTCTGGGATAAGGATGTCTCGGATTCCTTCGCCTCCAGAATCTCGTTGAAGACAGAGTCAATAGCCAGCCATAGGTGTCGAAAGACGTTGCGAACTAACGCGTTCTTGGAGTTGGCGGACTTGACTTTCTCTGGCGAACCAAAACTATCTTGAGTGCTGTTGTTGGAATGCGGGGAAGGAAGAGAAGGAGGCTGATTGATCTCCTCCTTTCCAGCGTGTGGGTCAGCCGGGTGGACTTGTGCTTCTCCTTGGACATCAGCTGGAGAGTCTGGGTCTTTTGCTTTTCCAGATAGCAGACTCGTACCAACTTCAAAGTCAGGCGGCAGAGAGTTCTTGAATCGCAGAACTTCCTTGGGTGCGTCCAGCACCTCAGGCGCATCCTGCTGGTTGTGGAGCTCCGAGAGACCAGCAAGATCTGAAGAGGGACCGAGAGAGAGACTCTCGCTCATCGTCTGCTGCATGCTCGTGTTGCTCCTTTGCGATCCCTCTAGATGTTCCATCAAGGACTTGGAGCTGCTGTAGAGCGAGGAGTTGACGCTGCCAACAAACATGCCGTCCTTGGATGCAAGAAGAACCTTGGTCATTCTCTGACTCTGCAGCAATCTCGTGAACGCCTCTCTGGCAGCTTGCACGGCTCCCACGGACGGCTCGGGTTCGTTAGGACCAAAGCGAGCAGAAGTGTGCGGTAGGCTGGGCGAGGACAGGGGCACCTGAGGGTCCGGAAGAGGAGAAGTGGCTGAGCTGATGCGATGAGAAGCTGCAAGTGTGGCATCCTCGGGAGGGCTCGGAGAGAGTGATCGTTGGGGGGAGGCTGCAGGAGCGGGCTGTGCTGGCGTGGGGGTCTGCTGCTCCTCTCGCTCTTGGTTTGGCTTATAGATGAGCCTCAGATTGACTAGGCCACTGACCACCGACCCGCTGCCCTTGAAATGCTTCCCTGCTCGCAACGGGAAGTCTGAGAAGGAAAGTCAGATGCCGAGTTAAAAGCGAGGAGAGCAGAGGGGAGGGGATGATGAGCAGAGGGGAGGGAGCCGCGGAGGGGAGAGGCGACGGGAGGAGAGGGAAGACCTTGTTCGATGAGATGATCGGGGAAGGCAACGAGCTTGGAGACGTTGATGACAACCTCACCCAAGAAGCTCTCGGGGAGACCGAAGGTGAAGTTCGCGTCCCACACGGTGATGTGTAGCTGAGCCTCAAGGCCCTGGGGGACTTGAAATTCGAAGGTCTGGTGCCATGCGGGGTTGGTGGAAGCTTGAGCAATGGAGGAGTCATGGCGGGGGAGGGAGTCAGGAGTGGGAGGGCGAGGCAGCGACAGGAGGCGCAGGCGAAGCCATGGACGAGGCGGCGGCGACCTCAGGCCGACGCCATGCGCAACGTAAACGAGCAGACGACCCATGGCGATTTGACCCGCCCTAGAGGGTGGGGTGATAAGGGGGATCGGGGTGGGTGAAGCCAGATAGGGATAATTTGGGGGTGGTGGTTATTGACGGATGGTAATGTTGAGGGGTACTTGACAGTAAGATAGGGGGTAGGGGTGATGTAGTTGAACCCTCCCTGTCGGATGTCACCGTATGGAAATGTCGCTCATAGGAAAACAGGCATAAGGACCACCCCCCTGACCACCCCCTGTCTTTCCAGAGGAAAAGACGAACAAGTGGGGGTACTAGATCACGGTAAAGCGAACCAGGAGCCAGGGGTGGGGGTAGGGTGGTTTTATTAGGTACTGGGGGATGGTTGTTGTGTTATCGCAGAGAGATGAAGCGCGAGGAGAGGAGAGGAGAGGAGAGGAGAGGAGAGGAGAGGAGAGTAGAACAGGAAGGAGCAGACTGGAACGTCAAGTTGGGTAGAGTAGGAGTGGAGCGGCATGCAGGCTGAAGCTTTGAGGAAAGGAGTGTTACTTTGAAGGCGGAGCTAATTACTGGAGGTTCACCGGATAGACAAGCATGGCGAAGATTGGCGAGCGAACCAGCGAGCGCGGGCAAGGGAGAAGAGGCTTGGCCAAGTGACAAAGAAAGAGGTAGAGGATGGAGGCCGTGAGAGCCCAGCAGAACGAGGGTTTAGGCACGAAGAGAGGGACGGCAAGCTCGGGGAAGGACTGGCTCAAGAATCAAAGAGAGCGACAGAAGCAGCTGCTGGCAACCATCGATGCCCTCCTACCTGCACAAGGTTTCCGCTTCTGTGTGCTGTAGAGTGAGTGAGTAACGAGTTTGCTTGAAGCAAAAACGAAGCAAGTCAAGGGCGTGGGATCTCGTTCCTGTGGGAGTTCAGGGCGGTCCATGTTCACCATCTTGCAGGACACCATCTCTTTGATCCGCGACCTGAGAGACAAGGGACAAGCGCTTCATCCCACACAAGTGAAGCTGCTACATCAGCCGGCAACCTCTGCCATCTCATGGAAGGAGGGTAATGCCTGATGTTGGCTCCTTCTCCTCCTCATTCATACTTCAGCGCTGCTTGCAAGCCGAACCTGCATGATCTTCGAGACGCACATCCCCAGCCTCACCGTCAGGTCTCACAACATATTCGCTGTTCTGGCACGCGCTTGGCTGACGTAATCACAGAAACATGAGCCTCGCGGCAAAGCACTTTTGTGGGAGCATGGCGGCAGAGAGAGATGTGTCTTTGTACAACATTGTGGCGAAGGATGAGATCGACACGTTGAGGTTCTTTATCGAACAGGCGCTGGCGGGAGTTTCAAGGTGGATTTACTCGAGCTCTTTGACAGCACTGATTGTTTGCAGTCTTTCGAAACTTCTTCGAGTGAGGAGGCTCGACAACGTGCACGTCAAGCAGGAAGGAGCGACTGGTGGATCCGGCTTTGACTTCCTCGAGTTTCGCATCCTTTGGATCGCTCAAGGTCAGATCTCGCCAGCCTCAGTCCTCGTGGAAGCCCTTCATCCACACTCAGCCTGCCACCCCTTGAAGCCCAACGTGAGGAAAGACAGAAAGTCTCTCGCCTTCCGCTTGGATCGCCTGGTGCCGAGCGAGTGTGAGTGCAGGAGGAGGAGGAGGAGGAGGAGGAGGAGGAGGAGGAGAATATGTCATTCTGATGTACTTGCAGTCAAGTCGCAGCAGGCGAAGGGTGTGGGGTCAAGAGCGTATGGCGATCAAGGACGATCGCTGTTGACCATTCTTCAAGATAGTATCGGTTGGATCAAACAGCTTCAGCAACAGGAAATGGGGCGAAGAGGGCAGGGCTCGCAGCCGCATGAACTGAGCCTGCATCATCAGAGTTCGATTCTTGCTCCTGCCTTGCTCCTCTGTGACTCTCTCACCTCCAGTCTTGATGTCGAGCGTTTCTTCGGCGTTTGTCAGCGTGCGAGGATCTCGCTGTAGCATATGGTACGACGCACTTGGCCCTCAGCACTTTTCTCATTGTCTTTGTATGCAGCGAGGTGAGCAGGGGAGCTGCTGGGCTCTTCGACCAGCAAGTGTCTCAGCTCATCGGCCTCTCACTGGTGGACCTTGTTCGCTCCCAAGACAGGAGCACCTTCTTTGCATTCGTGGGGTCCGAAGGGGTTGGGAGGTAAAGGAAGGAAGAGAGGAAGAGGGGGGTGGGGTGGGGTGGTGGGACAGGAGGGTGAGAGGGCGATTGTGAACTAAGCAAGTCCTGCTCAGGTCGTCTCCTTCCATATTCTTTAGGAGATCGACGACTTGGGAGGTTGACGAGGGGCCAGTCCTCTACGTTTGCTGCTCCCTTCGCCTTCTATTTCGCAGCCAGACCAGCAACTTGGACGCGACTCTCGTTCTTGAGGTCAACCGCGAGGAACAGGCGCCGACGCTCATCGCGGACAATCTTGACCTGGGCCCCTTTGCTCGAACCTTCTCTCCTGTCTCCCCGCAGACTTCGCAAGCTGTTGTGCTCTCTTCGATCTCACGTCCGATACAAGCGTCACTGCACCTCGAGCTGCCGGACGTGGGGCAGGTGAGCTCAAGTCAGCAAGTCGCTTCGTCCCTTACAGACCGCAGCGGCCCGAAGCTGCCTCGTTGCGGCTCTCGCAAACGATCATGCGGGGAGTGTGGGAGGCAGGGTATAGCGTGACAGGGTGAGGGAAGAGGAAGGCGCCGGCTGGTCTGAGTTCTTGTGCAGCCTCGCAAAGATGTTCAACGAACTTCCTGCGAGTGTTCGCTCGGTACTGGACAAGGGCCTCTGGTCCATGGAGCAAATTTTCAGGTTCTTCTCCTCCCACTGCTTGAACCCTCTCAACTTCCTTTCTCCCACGTCTTGACGTCCTCACAGGCATAACGCGCGCAACCAGCAAGCTCTTGTGCGTAGGACGGAGCCCCCCGGAGGTGCGCGACTGTGAGAGCAGGAGACCACGTGTGAGGCTGACGGAGGAGCAGAGAGCATGAAGCTGATCAAGAGCTTGCTGATGAAGGACGAAAATATCGGGTGAGGAGGGGGAAGGGATGCACGCGCATGAAGATGATAATTGAGCTGCGAGGAAGAGGAAGCGGTAGTGGTGGTAGCGGTAGAGGATGCTGTAGTGGAAGAGGAGGTTGGGGTGAGAGTGGTTGATGATTGTGACGAATGCTATTCAGGTTCTGGAACATGGAGATCAACACGGAGACGCTGAGGAGGACGAAGCTTGAGGTCGACGAGCTGTGGGAGGAGGAGAAATGACAAGTAGCCGAGCAGATCAGCCCGGGCATCGCCAACCTCCTTAATATGCACCCCGATGAAATGCTCGCTCGCGTGGGTAACAAGGATACGGAGCTGCCTAACTCAGACCTGGAGTTTTTCTGCACAATCATATGTAACTCTTCTCCTTTTCAACTTCCTCCGCTTCCTCCTCTTCTGCTTCTCCTCCGCTGCTTGTCTGCGCTCACGGGTTTGTCAGACGATATCATCTCCCTCCACCAGGACAGGCTGACTCGCTACTCAAGGCTGCTCCGGCGATGCCCACGGGTGAAGAGGAAGGGCAGGAGGAGGCGAAGTGACGGGATGAGGCAGACGGGCAAGCTGATCGACCCCTTCCTAGTTCGCGTGCATTCTATCAAGGAGCGGAACGAGGAGGGAAGGTGAGACTTGGAATCTGGTTGGGGTGGGGCGGGGGGGGGGAAGGGGGAGCGGGTTGGTAGCTCGCCTGCTTGTCTGAGAGTTTGCAGGATCTTCCGCATGTGGCACATTCTTGAGCGAGTGACCCCTGACGAGTATGACGAGGCGCGAAGGTGCGAGAGGATGAAGAGGGGGAGGAGGAGAGGAGGAGCAAGTTGTCTTGACCCAGCCCGTGCAGAAAGAACCCGCAGATCTGTCGTCCTATGCTCGAGCAGATGGGAGACTGTAGGGGAGCGGAGGACCTTTTGGAGTCGGCTAACTATGACAACCTCTTCAACCAAAGCTTCCAGTTCATGAAGACAACTCCTGAGGTCTCCTTTGTAACTGCGACCCCTCGCTCGCTCGCTCGCTTTCCTCCCCCCTCTCCATCCCTCCTAACCCTGACAGCATTTCTCTGCTTATCTTGTTACAGGGACAACAACAGCTACAAGCTCTGGCCAACGCAGTGAAGGAATGTTTCGCTCCTTTTGTGTCCGAAGCTGACAGGTAGGACGAAGAGGAGGAGGGCAAGCAGGAGCAGGGGCAGGGGCAGGGGCAGAAGGAGTGGTAGGGGGAGGAGGAGGAGGAGGAGGTAGTGGTGGTGGTGGTGGTGGTGGTGGGGTGGGGGTTGGGGGGGGGCTGGTGGTGACATACACGGCAGGATTGCTGGATCGACCGGACAAGTTTGGCGAGAGTGAGAGGCGCAAGTGGCTTCTGCTTGATGTGTTGATAGATGTTTGTTGAAAAGACCTGATGTGTTGATAGATGTTTGTTGAAAAGATTGTAAATCCTCTTCCTGTCAAATTCTCCCTCCCCTCCTACCCTCTCCCTCCCTGCCCCTCCCTCGCCCCTCCCTCCCTTTCTTCTCTCCCTCTCCCTCCCTCTCCCTCCCTCTCCCCCTCTCCCTCTCTCTCCCTCTCCCTCTCCCCCTCCCTCCTCTCGCCCCTCGCCCCTCCTATACTATGCTCTCTCACATTCCTGTCGCTCTCTCGCTCGTCCACCTACGTTTTGACCTCTGCTGTCAATTTTCAACGGCCGCGTCAAGCATGGCCGGGGAGGGGGGGGAGGATGTCGTCAGAGGAGGGAAGGGTCGCTGGTCTTTGGCTCTGAAAGTCTCCGATGCGCTGGAGAACATCCACAGGTCCTTCCCAGCCCTCCTCCTTCTCGCCCCACCTCCTCCTCCTCCTCCTCCTCCTCCTCCTCCTCGTGCTCCTCCTCCTCCTCGTGCTCCTCCTCCTCCTCCTCCTCCTCCTCCTCCTCCTCCTCCTCCTCCTCCTCTTCTCGTCGCCTCTCCGTTTCTTTCTTCCTTTATTTGTTGCGACAGGGCCAAAGACCATGAAGAGCTTTTCCATGCCGCTCAGGCTGCCTCCCTCTCGCTCCTTCAGGCTACTGCCACCATCCTCTACCTCTGCGAGGGCCGCGTGACCCGTCGCCTCGACGGTCGTCGGTCTCAGACGCTTCAAGAGCCTCCGAGGTGAGGGAGGAGGAGGGGGGGGGGGGGACAAGCGAGAGGCTGAGGGCGAGAGAGCAGGTCGGGGATCGTCGGGCGAACCTTCTTGTCCCTCAAGATGCAGACAAGAAGCAAGCAAGAAGAGGCGCAAGGAAGACGCAAGCAGAAAGGGAAGGAGGAGGGAGAGGAGGGAGAGGAGGGAGAGGAGGATGGTCTGCTTGAGCCTGGAGGGAGCATCTCAAGCATACTCACGATCCCCTGCGTGCATGAGGGGCGGGTGATGGGCGTCATGGCGGCTCTCAACAGCATCCAAGGAAGTTTCTCCAGGAGCTCGTGCGAGGAGGCGGCGACGAGGATCGCAAGGAGCGTCAGCCTGCGACTGAGAGACCTCGAGCAAGTAGAGGAGGTCAGACTCGCTCTCCGTCAGCAGCAGCGCGTCTGGGAACTGGCGGTGAAGCTCGCGGAGGTGGAGGAGGAGCGAGAAGTTGCCCAGCTCGTCTCCCTCCGGACGCCGAAGCTGGTGGGGTGTGAGGCAGCGATGCTGGTGCTGGTGGAGGAGCGAGGAAGGGAGGAAGAGACCATTTTAAGAAACTTGTCGGGAGGAGACAAGCTGAAGAAGAAGTTTACAGCTCGAGGAATGTTTCTGACTTGTCTCTCCTCAAACAAGACCGTCAAGGTGACTCTCAAATGCTGTTAAAACCAAAACCATCCTCTCCTCTCCTTTCCTCTCCTCTCCTCTCCTCTCCTGTCCTCTCCTCTCTCCTCTCCTCTCCTCTCCTCTCCTCTCCTCTCTTCGCTCCATTAATCCGTTCGTCCATCCATCCCTTCCTCTCTCATGAAGCTGTCTGTTTGTGTGTTCTCATCACCTTCAGGTTTCTTGTTCTTCTCTCATCGGAAGGGAAGCGCGTAACGGCCTGCTGGTCCCTCTGACGCATCAGGACGAGGAAGCGATCGGCCTCATCGTCTTCCTCAACAAAGCCAAGTGAGTTGATAGACTTTTAACCTCCTCCTTGTCCTCTTTCTCCATCACCACCACCACCACCACCACCTCTCCGTTTATCACCACCACCACCTCTCCGTGTTCTCCTCTTATCAAACTCCACGTTCACCTCAACTTCGTTTCCTCCTTTGCTAGACCTTCACCTCCTGCCTCCTATCTCCTGCTGCTCGTTATCCTCGCCTCACCGGACGGTCAGCGACTTTCCGAGTCCGACGCCAAGACTGGCGAGCAAGTCGCAAGCTCAGTCAGCACAACCATCAGAAACATCAAGAGGAGGAGGAAAGCGAATTCAGACCTCCTCCGACACATGTATCCCTCCTCCCTCCCTCCCTCCTCTTTCATGACCTCCTCCTCTCCTGCCCTTCCTCAGGCTCAGGATGTGGGCGAGCGAGTGCCGATCGTCGCAGGCCGAGCAGGAGGCATACACGCTGACGGCATGCTGCTGCTGCTGCTGCTTCTGCTGCTCAACAGTCCGATCAGGTGCTTGAGCAAGCCACGTCGAGTCTCTCCTCTGTCTCCTCCACTTCCGACATGTGCAGGCTCATCGCATCGCTCGCTGCCGTCTGCCTTCTCCTCCTCCCTCTCCTCTCTCCTCTGATCTTCCACAGGACTGCGTCAAGTCCGAGTGCGGCGCTCTCCTCCTCCTCTCTAGTGAGGGAGACAAGGCGACAAGCGTGACCAAGGAAGGAGTCAGTACCCCACCTCTGACCTCCTCTTACCTCCTCCCGTATCATCCTTCTCTTCAACTCTCTTATGATTTTCTGCAGATTCTTCACACTCTCAATCTCAGCCAGTCAGCCATTCTCTCCTTCACTCTCTCTTCGGTGCTCTTGCTTCCATTCCCGCTCATTCCACGCCCTCGCCCCCTCCATCAAAGTTCTTCTACCGTCTCACCCTGACCCTCTCGTTTGCCTATCGTTCCCCTCCCTCCCTCCCTCCCTCCCTCCCACTGTCTTTCTATCGCGTCACTCCTCCCATCAGGGAGATCCTCTCAGCATCTGCGATGCTCAAGGCGATTATCTTCTCTCCATGTTCGACTGCCCTCCCGCATCTCCCGTCCTGACATACCCGGTGAAGGATGCGATGATGGTGAGACTGTGTCCTCTGCCTCCCCTAGCCTCTCCCTTTCCCCTTCTGCTTCCTCCTGCTTCTTCTTCTTCTTCATGATCGTTTGTCACCCTCGCCTCATCTTTCGCTGCACTCGCAGCAAACTGTCGCGGTGCTGGTGGTGGCCGGGAGAAGCGAAGGCGCGAGAAAGCTCATCTTCGACGAGACCGACAGAATCAGCCTCGAGTTTCTCGCAGCGTAAACTTCTTCTCTCTCCTCCTCTCTCCTCCTCTCTCCTCCTCTCTCCTCCTCTCTCCTCCTCTCTTCCTCCGCTCATCGACTGGAGCAGGAGGGTTCGGTCCGCTCTCGACCAGCTCGCTGCACGTCAGATTCTCAATGCGACGACCAATGCGCTCGCAGCAACTTCAGTTAGCCACTCCTCTTCCTCCTGCTCCAGCTCCAGCTCCTCCAGCTCCTCCTCCTTCTCCCCCTCCTGCCCTTCCTCCTTCTCCCCCTCCTGCCCCTGCCCCTGCCCCTGCCCCTGCCCCTGCCCCTGCCCCTGCCCCTGCTCCTCGTCACCATCCTCTCACTTCTCCTCTTGTCGTGTCCTCCTCACTCGCTGGTCTTGGTTCATGAGTTTCGCAGGTTCGCTGGGAGCGACTGCAGGAGGCGGCCTGTGTGAACCTGCACGCGCGGAGTTTCCCGCTGATGGAGGGAGAGGGGGGGAGCATGTACAGCATGAGCAGCAAGAACAAGAGCCTCATCGAGTTCCTCGAGAAGATCGACAAGTTCTGCCGGGTCTCTCCTGCACTCTCCTTCGCCCCAACTCACTGCAACCTTAGGATGTGCTGCGTTGTCATTCTTGTACCGTTTGCTTGAGAGACTGCGAGAGCTGGGGCATGTTGGGTCAGACCTCTCCTCCTCCTCTCCTCCTCTCCTCCTCTCCTCCTCTCCTCCTCTCCTCCTCTCCTCCTCTCCTCCTCTCCTCCTCTCCTCCTCTCCTCCTCCTCTCCTCCTCTCCTCCTCCTCTCCTCCTCTCCTCCTCTCCTCCTCTCCTCCTCCTCTCCTCCTCCTCTCCTCCTCTCCTCCTCTCCTCCTCTCCTCTTGATCTCCTCGCAGTTCTCTCGCGCAGTAGCACAGGATATCACCTTGCTCCTGTCCAGATGACGGGAATCGCTGGTATTGGACCTCCCTCTCTGTTCTCTCCTCCCTCCCTCCTCCCTGCTTTTCCTCTCATCCTCGTACTTGGTCAGGTGCAGCGATGCAGGAGGGGCGTGAAGTTTTCGTTGAGAGCATCACGACCGAGCATCCACAGTACGACGAAGGGTGAGGAGGAGGAATATGAGAGCGAGGAAGGGAGGAGGGAGGAATATGAGAGCGAGGAAGGGAGGAGGGAGAAGATTCTGACTCATCTTCTGTCGCAGAGTCGATCTACCTCTCGGCAATCTTGTCCGACCGGATCTTTTGCTGTCAGCTCAGTTTCTCTTCCTCGCATGCCTTGATGCTTCACTAGATCCCTTGCCTTCATCCGGCAACGTCTCAGCTTCAAGCCGTGAGACACTCCGCTTGTCTTCTCCTCTTGTCTTCTCCTCTTGTCTTCTCCTCTTGTCTTCTCCTCTTGTCTTCTCCTCTTGTCTTCTCCTCTTGTCTTCTCCGCTTGTCTTCTCCTCTTGTCTTCTCCTCTTGTCTTCTCCTCTTGTCTTCTCCTCTTATCTCTTGATTGGTGCGCACCGTAACCTCTACTCCAGGTCGTCGAGCTATTGTTTGCTGACCATGGTATTCCTCCTGCTCCTGCTTCTGCTCCTGCTTCTGCTCCTGCTCCTGCTCCTGCTCCTGCTTCTGCTCCTGCTTCTGCTCCTGCTTCTGCTCCTGCTCCTGCTTCTGCTTCTGCTCCTGCTCCTGCTCTGCTCCTGCTCCTGCTTCTGCTTCTGCTCCTGCTCCTGCTCCTGCTACTGCTTCTGCTTCTGCTTCTGCTTCTGCTTCTGCTTCTGCTTCTGCTCCTGCTCCTTACCTCATCTACAGCTGCCGCCGGGCGAGAGATGCGAGAATCCATCAAGACCGTCTGCCGAGCTGCTGCTGCACATATTGCTGTGAGCAAAAGCAGCCGGAGGAACAAGAGGAGCAGGAGCAGGAGCAGGAGCAGGAGCAGGAGCAGGAGCAGGAGCAGGAGCAGGAGCAGGAGCAGGAGCAGGAGCAGGGAGATGCGAGGTGATGTGGAATAGGAGCAGAAACAAGCGAAGAGGATCAGGGAGGTGGGAGGGCAGGAGGACAAGAGAGCGAGCAAGAACTTGACAAGGGAGGAGGACAAGAGTACCGCCAGGGCTGAGAAGCTGCAGGTTGCTCTCCGTCACTTCTTTCTGTCCGACACGTGCCTGCGAGAAGCGATCGCGACGCTGACAGCGAGGGGAAGGCCTGTGGAGACGGTGACGGGAGGAGGCTAGTATCCAGGGGGGCCGTCTAGCAGGCCCTGAGGCCGCGTCGGCCCTTGCCCGAGGAGGAGGCTGTTGCCGCTTCTGCTGCCGCTGCTGCTGCCGCCCAACCTTGTCATGGCACAGTAGGTCAGTATTCGTACGATGCTTTTAATAATCGCCGCCCAACCGCCAGTGGTCAGGCGCACTGCCGGTCATCCGGTCAGCCTCACTGAGTCACTTCGGAGTCAGTCAGTCAGTCAGTCAGTCAGTCAGTCAGTCAGTCACTGGTCAGTCAGTCAGTCAGTCAGTCAGTCAGTCAGTCACTGGTCAGTCAGTCAGTCAGTCAGTCAGTCAGTCAGTCAGTCAGTCAGTCAGTCAGTCAGTCACTGGTCAGTCAGTCAGTCAGTCACTGGTCAGTCAGTCAGTCAGTCAGTCACTGGTCAGTGAGTCAGTCAGTCAGTCAGTCAGTCACTGGTCAGTCAGTCAGTCAGTCAGTCAGTCACTGGTCAGTCAGTCAGTCAGTCAGTCAGTCAGTGGTCAGTCAGTCAGTCAGTCAGTCAGTCAGTCAGTCAGTCAGTCAGTCAGTCAGTCAGTCAGTCAGTCAGTCAGTCAGTCAGTCTCACAGGCTGGTCAGTCAGTCAGTCAGTCACTGGTCAGTCAGTCAGTCAGTCAGTCAGTCAGTCAGTCAGTCAGTCAGTCAGTCAGTCAGTCAGTCAGTCACTGGTCAATCAGTCAGTCAGTCAGTCAGTGAGTCAGTCAGTCAGTCAGTCAGTCAGTCACTGGTCAGTCAGTCAGTCAGTCACTGGTCAGTCAGTCAGTCAGTCAGTCAGTCAGTCAGTCAGTCAGTCAGTCAGTCACTGGTCAGTCAGTCAGTCAGTCAGTCAGTCAGTCAGTCAGTCAGTCAGTCAGTCAGTCAGTCAGTCACCGGCCCCGGGGCCCGCCCGGCCATGGCGCGGCCTGGCCCGGACTCAGCGGCCGACTCTGAGTCCTGAGGGCTCTATTCCACCCCTACATTCATCATCAATTATCAGGGTAGGGTACTGAAATATGAAGAACTGGAGGGTGGGTGGGGGGATAAGGAGGGGTCAATCCTCTACTTCTTCCTATAAGACACCCCTGGTGAATGTATTGAGGATATTAAACGAGGGGTGGGGTGGTCATTTTCTATTCTCGGGCAAGGGATCCGGGTAGTAGGAATTTGGAGGTAGGGGTGCTGATATAACCCCTACTATCATATCTCTTTCATCTATTTTTCAGTGGGTGGGGTTACAAACAAATGGGGTGATAGAGACATGGGGGTAGTGCGAGGGTAAAAGATTTGCTATTTTGGGTTCGAGGTGGTGATGGCGGCGGCTGCGAGAGGGAGAGGGACGATGCGGCTGGCGCTTCTGATCTGCTTCCTGCTCGAGGCTCAAGCTGTTAGCAGACTGCGAACGTTCAGGCCTCTCACTCACGACCATGAGGCCGCAGCTCAACTTTCAATGTTGGCACGAAGTGAGGAAGGGCGTGCTGAGCTACAAGGAAGGCTCTCGTCGCTCATGGCGAATGGATATTTCACATCGCTGATAGAAAACACAGCGCAGGCACAAGCAGATCAAGAAGCACAAGGCGATGGATTCACCATTGCGTTTGTTCCTCAGAACAGCACTGTTTACAACCCAGACCTGAGCTCTACCTTCAAAGTGGTGCCTCACCAGGTTGGCCGATGACTCTCTCAGCATCTCTCCGCCCTTTGACTGATCTTATCGACCACTCTCATTGATCTTATCGACCACTCTTATGCTCGTTGCTCTCATGTTTTGGTTGCCGCGTCTTCTCATCTGACGTTTTGACAACAGGCTTTCATGCTCGGGTATGCGGACAATACGCACTTGAAAGGGTTTCAGGCCAACGACATAGTTCAGCTCGGCGACTACTACGACTTCGCCGACTTCGGTGCTGTCACCGACTGTAATAGCCCGGATTTCAACGACGTCGATGGCATCGTTGGTTTCGGTCTGCCGTCGCCCCCTCCCGCTCAACCTGCGCAAGCTCCGACCACGTCCATCATGCCAGGCATGGCTCCGAGCGGCGCCCCACCAGCTACGCTTCCGATGCCTCTGCTCTTCTCTTTGACGAAGCAGAGCACGGATGATGATTCTAAAGTGCACAAGCTTGAGCGACGGGCGTTCTCGTTCCTCTCGACGGACAAGAGGGCGGAGATCCATCTTGGGGGTTTCGATCCTGATGCGATTGAGGGCCAGATGTTCCTCACTCCCTCGATCTCTCCTCATGATTACTCGGTTGTTGCTGTCTCACTCAAGTATGGTGACACCGAACTGCTTCAGTTCAAGCCGACAGATCCGAGGCTTCGCTACGTCCCTGCCATCATGGACAGTGGTACCTCCTGCCTGGTGATGCCCGACAGCGACTTGAACGGTCTCATCGACAACAAGCCTTATTCTACCTGGAAGAGCATTGTCGAGGACACAACACATCCTAAGCTCAAAAAGGATTTCACTCTCAACATTGCTGGGCGAGAGTTTGTGATTCCCTACGATTCTTGGTTCCTTGATGACTCGAACCAATCGTGTGTCCAGCCAGCTCCTCCAGGCTTTCCTGGGCTTCTTGTGGGTGACGTGTTTTTTCGACGCTTCCTTGTCATGTTCGATCTGCAACATTTCCCTCACAGTGTCGTGATCGGAATCGGCAAGCAGAAGCCTAACTACCAGCCTCTCGACTTCTATGGCAAAGCCAAGAAGCTTCAGTTCGAGAAGAGGCAAGTGAACATTAGCAAGGCACCCCCGGGCTACACGGTTTCTTTCGCTAGTGATGAGATCCCTGTCTACAACCAGCTGGAAACTCAATACTTCATGAATATCTCTGTCGGAACACCGCGACAGAACTTCACTGTCATCTTTGACACTGGCTCTAGCGTCTTTGGAATTTTCACCAAGTGCATACCAAATGCTCCCTCCTACGGTGGATGCGTGTTCGGAGGAGGGCCCAAGAGCGATTCAACACTGCTCATTGAAGGAGCTGTCTTCGTGCTCTCAGTCTCCATCGGCCTCTGCGTCGTCGGAATCCTGATCAACATGTGGGTGCGAAAGAAACACGAGGAGTCAGTCCGACAAGCGCAGAACAAGTCGAAGAACAGCAGTGGGTCTGCATTTTCGACAGACATGCTCAATCAGTACTACACGCAAGTACCGTAAAGTGGCAAGACAATGCGACAGATTGAGCAGGGGGACCGGCCATAGGGGTTGGACAGCCTCACTGGAGCTTAGCATGTGGAGAAGAAGGTCACGGGAAAGCAAACTCTCAAAACGTGAGACTCGTCCATAGTCAAGGCGTCAACTCGTTTTTTTAATTTTATTTCTTTTAAGATGAAATGCCTAGGTTGAACTGAGCTGTCTGGTATGATTTCTATCCCCTCGCCTCTTCTTCCATGGCTCGTTCTAATAAGCTGAATTGTCGGTCAGCCAGCCGTTCACCGACGTAGAGCTTGCCGAAGACTCGCCATGCTCTCCCACAGGATCCGACAGGAAGTCTGCCATGGCCTCACCTACACCCGGCTGGTCCTTGTACCCGAGGAGAACTCCATCTGTCAAGCACCCGCTCGTCAGCATGTCCATCGTGCTCATTCGCGTCAGCCCACCTGGTGAGTTCACGTTGGCGTCGAGAGCAGGAAAGTTGCTTTCTCCCTGCAGCAACATAAGACGACAAATCAGTTGTCCTCCTCCACTACCACAACAGTTCGGACGGGAACAACTGCATCATCATCGTATGCGTATTGCCTGATATGTAAATCAGTTTTGTTGCTCCTTACGTCTCGATCTCACCAATCGGCCGCGTCTGTCTCTTCCCCCTCCTGGTAAGGCTGCAAGAATTGCACGTCAGCTCGCTCCTTCTCCACAGCTGCTTCAGTTCAGCATCTCACCAGCACCAACGCCTGCTGAGGCTCTTGGGGAATCGCGCTGACATGCTTGGCTTCATCCAGAACTCCATCGGATAAGATGAGGTCCGCGTAATCCATCCAATCGGCGAACCAAGGTGAGTCTACAATGTCATCAACCTCCCCTCCTGACTTAGCAGCGTTGACTTCGCCCTCCTCCCCTTGCTGCTCCCCTCCCTGTTCTTCTATCTTGTCTGACTTTCCATCCCAAGTTTCATCCGCCAGTGGCACGACGTCATACTTGTACCCCAGCTCATCAAGCGACTGAAGCTTTGCCTTCCTCTCAGCCATCCCCGGAGCATTTGAGAGATGCGCCTGGTAGAAGACTCGAGGGTTCACGTCGCTCACAAACTTTGTTGGAACCCTGAGGGTCGGGACGTCTGGGAGGGGCTTCCGTGCTCGTTGTTGGGTCTTCTTGCCTAGTTTTACTCTCATGGGCGCAATCTCGCGATGGGCGTGAAGGTGAAGGCGAGGAGGCAGAAACCCCCGCAGCCTGTAGGCATACCCGTTCCTCGTCCTGTAGTACATGTTGGGCGGGGCAAACTGTCGGTCTACGGCGTTGTCGAGAGCGATCTTGATGTTCTTGGCGGCTGCCGCAGCACACGGGCATCCGTCCTCATTCCCATCTTTCTCTTGGTCCTCGCAGTCGCAGTGCATGGAGTACATGTCGGCGAGTCGGATCTCAGCTTGCTTGGCTCGTAACGCTCTAGTTTGCTTCGAGACAAGGAGCGAAGGTCTAGCGGTACAGACCAACAAGACTGAGAGAGCAGCCGCCAACCCCACGAGCGACAAGCTCATTCCCTTGGTCTTCATGCTCAGAGTCGACATAAACTCGTCCATCCTCCTCTCCCCTCAACCTCCTCTCCTTTCCATGGTCCCTCAAGAGGCGCGCGGATTCTCCCGGATACTCCCGGATACTCCCGGATACCCGGATGGAAGAGTACTTCAAAGATAACTAATGTTTAATATTATTTATTTTAGTTAAATCTTTGGTAGGTTGTTCTGTTTGTAGACCCCACCCCTTCCTCTGCACGTGGAGGTGAAATGGAGGGGTAGGGTGACAAGCAAGTGCCAGGTGGGCTGTCATGGCATAATGCGATGAAAGATGGGGGTAGGGGTGATCAAGTACGGGTCTATTTCATTGTCTTTATCGGGGTTCTTCTACATAGTGTTCTGAAAAGCAACCAGTGAGGGGGTGGGGGTTGTAGGGGTGGGCACCACGGGGGGTGGTGCTTCCTCGGCCTCCAAGCGAGTCGACTCCTGATTGCCGACAGACTCTCGTCCCGTGCGCTCTCCTCTTCCTCTTCCTCTTCCTCTTCCTCGTCCTCTTCCTCCTTCCTCTTCATCTTCCTTCTCCTCCCCCTGCCTCATCCTCCTTTGCTGGCGCAATCTCTCTTGGTCTCGGGGTTTGAGGTCGGAGCTTCTCAGCCATGGGGATATCATGGTGGCGCATGGCCTTCATCTTCGGGCCAGCCATTGCGCGTGGTGACATCAGCTCGTTCGGCTTATACACACCCTTCATCTTTGGGCATCTTCTGTCACGAGTGGTGCGGCAGTGGAAGAGCAAAGTGAAGCTGAGGGGATGGCCTCACAAGGTTTCGCCGGAGCTGACGAGAGGATGGATGATCAAGCTGGTGCGAGAGATCGCCTTCGTCTTCTTCTTCCTTGCCTTCTGCCATTGGATGAAGTCTGAAACCCGATCGCTGTTCAACTTCTTTCTCTCTTCGTTTGTCAACCCCATGCTGAGGTTCTGGTTCCCCGCCAGAAGCAAGGGGCCTCTGTATCATGGTCAGCCACTGTGGGACACGACGTGGGGCAACATCTCGGTGTACGTGATGATGCTGGGAGGTCTGACAACCTCGTGGATCATTCAGGGCATCGATCACATCTTCCTCGGGTTCCTCTTCTTGCAGATCGTCCCTGAGATTCAGAAGCGGTTCTGGATGAAGCCGGTGCAGCACCTCTACCTCGTCGTCGGCATCCTCCTTGTCTGCTTCCCCTTCTTCTCCATCGGCCTCATGGCCTGGTATTTCCCCTCCTACCTGGAGTCCATCCCCAAGAGCTTCCTCCAGTGGCTCTGCTGGCTGGCGAACGCGAGGCCTGAGATACCCGACCACTACGCGACGCTTGGAGTGTCGCCTGACGCAGACATGAAGACGATCAAGAAAGTGTTCCGCGAGATGGCGATCGAACTGCATCCTGACAAGGTTGGCGACGATCCCGTGAAGCTAGCTCGCTTCCATGCCATCCAGACTGCTTCGGACGCGCTGACGAAAGGGAGAGCTGAATACGACAAGAGCATCGAGAACCAGGAGCTCAACGAGATTGTTCCCAGGTGCTATGCGTTCCTGGTCATGATCGGCTACTGGTTGCTGCACTCGCTCATCGACTGGAACGACGTGGAGGGGATGAGGGACCAGGGCAAGGACGCTCTGCGCGATCACGTTCTCGCCGACAGACCGATCGACCTCAAGTCGCTGGGCCTCAGCAACGACGAGCAAGGTATGCTGATCCTCAAGGAGTACTGCACTCCCCAGGACGTGGAGCTTCCGTTCGTGTCCGGGAACAAGGCAGACATCATGGAGATGAGAGATTGCCTTGAGAAGGCCGGGTACAAGCTCGAGCCCTTCCCGGAGGTCAAGGGGACTGTGCAGAAGGTGTACCAGGAGGTTGTACTGGGGTCGAAGGAGATGAAGAACCTCAAGGACATCATCACAACCCCGGGCTTCTACGTGGGCTATTCCATCCTCGTCGAGAAGTTCGACGGTTCGGTTGCTGAATCGACCATCGTCGACTACACGGGAGGCGATAAGCGTGTGGCAACCGTGGAGCCTCCTCTGGGCTTCGTTCCCGTGGCGGACATCTCGAAGTTCACGCTGAAGAAGGCGGGAGTAGCGAAGGATGTGTCGGGGTTGGTCGGTCTCCACCCGCTGGGCCAGCTCAATCAAGTCTTCATCATCGGAGATGCGGACGAGAAGTCGGAGGTGAAGCTCAACAAGGAGGAAGGCTACTACAACGGCTACAAGTTCGAGGTTCGCAATGGCAAGACGCTTGTGGGCTGGCAGGTGAGTTGATGGCGGAGGGTGTCCGAGGACGCTGGAGAGGAGGAGGTAGAGGGGGTTGTATCTGAGTGAGATACAGAGAGTGTACGAGTACTGGCCGTCTCAGAACAAAGTGATCCTGGAAGGCGCATTGATGTGCGCGTCGGGCAAGCAGCTCTGGGGGTCTGACGAGATCAAAGTCGAGCCAGGAGAGTCGACGTATGTGATCTATCCCGAAGATCTGATCCCCCGGTAAGCGTCTGCTTTCGCGCTTGTCCTCACTCCCTTGCTTTTCTTCATTGTCTGACCTTCAAATTCGCAGGCCCAAGAGGAAGTACATCGCAGACTCAAGTTCGAGCTCTGCTGCCCCTGCTCAAGTCGCTGCCTCGGTATGGGGAGGGGAGGAGGGCAAGAAGAGTGAGAGGAAGTGGAAAGGGAAATGGATGCGAAGAACGAAGATGAGAGGAGGGGGAGAGAGGGGGAAGGGGAAGGAAACAAAGATGCTGAGCCGCCCCAGGTGATGGCGACGCCCAAGAACATCGTGGGAGCCCCTAAGGGCTCAGTAGCAGCGACTCGAAACGTGAAGAGCAAGATTCAGAGACACAAGGCGTACACAAGGAAGGCGAAGGGGTCGGGCTGGGGCTGCGGGATGATGTGAAGAGAGAGAGAGAGAGAGAGAGGAGAGGAGCGTCGCCGTTGCCATCAATTTTCCTGAATGAGTAAACGTAGGAAGAGCTAGTGAGTGGTCTGGTGGAGCGAGGCAGAGCTAGAGCTCCTCTCGTTGTTGGGTCGACTTGGAGCACTTAGAGGGGAACATGTCGCTGAGATGAAATGAAGATGCGATCACACACAGAAACCTGACTCACCTGCACAGCATCAACGCCACATTCCTTCCTCCTATCGCTGACACTTCCACAGCCTGCTCATCCGTGTCAAGCACACCATCCCTTCCCTCCTCCCCAGTCTCCTCAAGTCTCACGCTGACGGCCTTCTCGATGGCGTTGACATAATAGATCCTCTCGTCTGCTCAGCCGTCATCACCTCACCTTCCCTTTTCCTCCTCCTCCTTCCCCTCCTCGAGTTTCCCTCCGCGCTCTTCTCATTCCCTTCTCCTTTTCACATCCTCCATCACCGGGTGCCTCACTTCCTCTCCCCTGCTCCACATCTGTTCCACTGAGTTCGTCCCCTCGCCGCCTCTGCTTCACCTGCGATGGGCCGGAAGGACTTGAGCTGCTCGGGAGGGCGGAAGTGAGGGTAGGCCTGAGACACGTTGAGGGGCGAGAGACCGACAGCATTTCGACCTTCCACTCCTTCTCCTCGAGCACCTCGTACACTGAAAACAGCTGGTCGATCTCGTCCTTCAGTAACCTGCGAACGGATGAGAAAGCAAGAAAGAGGAGAGGAAGAGCGAAGAGGAGGCTCCCGGTAAGGCGGAGGAGGGAGTGCACGAGGGGCAGGAGGGGCAGGAGGGGCAGGAGGGGCAGGAGGGGCAGGAGGGGCAGGAGGGGCACGAGGGAAGGTCCCGCGACCTGCGAGGGCTGAAGATCTTGTAAACGTTGTGCCCATAGTGAGAGATGGAAGTGAAAAAGTCCTGCGAGTCCTCCGTTGCATAAATAGAGTCGGGCACCCGACTCGCAGCTCCTGCCTTCCTCGACCATCCGGTCAGCCACTTTGCTCCTGGCACCGCAACATGTCAGGGGTGTGGCTGCCGCGTCTCTCCTTCGACCTCCTGTCAGGCGGGAGGCGTTCAACACCCCTTGCACGAACGTGGAGTGAGTGGTGCGAAAGAGTATGTCGGAAGAATGGTCAAGCTCCAACTCTTCTTCTCCTGCTTGCATGTCATGCTCGTCGGAAAGCGCCTCCCCCTCCTTTCCTTGCGTGCCGATCTTGACGAACTTGATCGATGACAACTCTAAGGGAGTCGCGAGCCTGCGAGGCCCCACTCAACCTTAGCTCGCTCCTCTCCTCAATCCTCACACTAACGCGTCGAACTGTCCCTCCTCCTTGTCATCGCTCCACAAGGTGTATCTTCGGTCCCTTGACACAGATTCAGCGCATTCCTCTCAGTCCACTGGCTCACAAGCTTGTGGTGTTGATCGTCACTTGAGAGATTCTCTTCTTCAGGCTCAGCACGTCGGCTGAATTCTCGATCATCGCTTCTGCATGGAAGCATCAGCCCTCGAGTGAGGCAAGGAAGTTGAGGAGGATGGAGCCGAAGAAAGAACAAGGGGAGAGGAGAGGAAGAAAGAACAAGAGGGGAAGGGAGGGGAGGGGAGTTGCGGAGGGAGAAAACAGACGGAGTGGACATGTAGAGCAGGAGTAAAACAAGGGAAAAGCTTCACCGGGCAGTGCTGCATTTCCTTCCCGGATGGCGAACACGGAGCCAGCGACGAGGGGGCAGAGGGACACCATCCCAGCAAGCGCATTGAGCGAGTTATCTTAGAGATCAGTGAGCGAGGAGAAGTCGTCTGCTCCTCCTCTTACCTTGGTTGTAGTTCACCCGGTTCACCGCCCCCACCAGCTCCCGCATCAGCTTCTCGTTCAACCCGTGAAGCTTCAGCTCCTCGCCCAGACTCTCTTGCGTCAGGTGGTACAGCCCCACCGAGCTCCACAGCTCCTCAGCGGTCTCGAAGCTCTCCGCAGCCTCCTGCTCGGACCTCTCATCCTCCTCGAAGAGCGGAGGAGTCACGGACCTGCTTGTCGTAGATCTTGAGGAAGGATTCCAACGTCTTCTTGACCAGCGCCTTGAGCAGCACCAGCGACCTGCCGTATCTCGCCATGAGGCCCAGGGACGTCAGGAAGGAGGAGGGCCTGGTCTGGTTCCAAGGGAGATGCAGCGACTGGAACACGAGGCGGCTGCCGTCCCACAGCCCGAAGCTCCGCCCGCCTGACCTGGTGTGGTTCAACCCGAGGTCCAGGGAGATGGTCCGCGCGTAGTGGTTCTTCTCGAAGATGATGGAGGCGCCGACTTCGAAGAGCCTCTCCTCACCGGACGCGCTATCCGTGTGCTTCAGATGCTTGCATCGTCCTCCCACTCGATCCTCCGCTTCGAACACTTGGATCTCCACTTCGCTGCCCACAAGCCGCCGCAGGAAGTAGCTCGACGAAGCCCCTCCCATCCCCGCTCCAATGACCGCGACTCTGCCCAGGGCCTTTTCACTCTCACTGCTGTCAGTACCTCCATCCTCATGTTGCGCCCAAGCAAGAGAATGGAGCAGCAAGAAACAGGCAGCAAGACACACATGCCGGACACGCTGACGGCTCCCTGCCCATCCCCATCAGGCTACTTCCCATCCAACCAATGCACACAAGAAGAAGCTTCTCTACTCATACCGTAGTCCTGCTGGCTAATGTAGAGCTCGACCTCTGCCTTTCTTTTCTTCCTCCTCTTTTTGTTTCTCTTCGCTACTTCTTTGCACCTCCTCGAACTCGTCTTGTCTCTACCCTCTTCTTCTTCCTCCTCTTCTGCAGCCATCTCCTCTCCTCTCCTCTCCTCTCCTCTCCTCTCCTCTCCTCTCCTCTCCTCATCTCTTTTCGCAGGCTTCGAGACTCCCACCAGGGTCAAGGAGGTCTCTCCTTTTCCCCTCGCTCCTCCTCGCTGACGCGCAGGAGCAGGAGGGAGTTGTAGCAGATGCTCGGACGGGAGCAAGAGACAGACAGAGTCCCATCCTCAAGACCTTCCTCCAGCAGAGCATACAAGACTCCATGCTTCCCAACACCGAGCACGCGGTCCGAACCCCCTCCGCTCCTCTTTGCCGCTCCTCCTTCCTCTCCTCCTCTCCTCTTCCCCTCCTCCCTCCTCACCCCCTCCTCGTCCTCCCCTCATTCTTCTTCTCCCTCCTCTCTCCTCCTCTTCCCTCACATTCTGCTCGCTCTCCTCCTCATTTTCCTTCAGTTTCAGCCTGTCGCTGAGAACTTCCGCGCGGTTCTCGGGCAGAGAATGGCGGAAGAGCAGAAGAACTCCAACGTCAAGCCCATGCCTGGGCGTCCAACACAAGTCAGCTCCTTCCTCCCACCCCCCACCCCTGCTTCCTCCTCCTCTACCACCCCCACTTCTTCCTCCTCTACCAACTCTTCTTCCTCCTCCTGTATCTCCTCCTTCTCCTTCTCAATATTTTTTGACGTGGCTCTTCCTCCTCCTCCTCTTTCAGGTCAACGCAAGTCCTGGTCACATCGCAGAGGTTCTCCTTCCTCCTCCTCCTCCTCCTCCTCCTCCTCCTCCTCCTCCTCCTCCTTCTCCTCTGACTTGCCC